AATACTGTTTGATCGAGCAGACATTGCAACTTCTTCCATGTAAACGTAAGGAGCAGCCCATCCACTCTTTTCAGAGCTTTGGCGCCTTTTTTTTTGAAAGCCACTTTCTCATTGCAGTGTGCCAAAGAAACAATAAGGAAAACAAGACACACCACAACAACACACTGAGCAGGGAAGGGAAGGAAGAGAGAGAGAGAGAGAGAGAGAAGGAAAATTGGGTACATACAATGAGATATATTTCTGTTTGTACTACCGACATGCTTTATTCTTATTATTTTTTTGTTCCTTTTATCTGTACTCTTTCCCCTTGCTTCTCTTCTTCACATGCTCTCTTTTTCTTTCGTTCCTTCCAAGCAGTCAAGAAATCAACATGAGGCAAGCTTCACACTAGCTTCAATAATAATAATAATAAAAGAGTATACGGATCTAAACCCTGTGCGGCAGGGGTCCACTTTGATGAGAAACTTCAGTTGCAGAATGAGACACCCAAACGTAACGCGTGGCGACGGCTTACGTCGACAAAGTGTGAATGTAAAAATCCACGATCTGGTGACGAAAGGCCACGTTTCGCAAGATATTTGTTCTACCCTGGGACAAAAAGAGCCGGACGCAGCTGATGGGATCCATATTGTGGTATTGCATCAGGTACGCAATGCAGAGTGTCACACTTCTATTGATGCCTGCTATGCAATGCACAAAAACGCGACGGTCCGCTTTCCTAGCCTCGCTGACGATGCTTGCAAATTGATCGTAACAGTGGAACAAAATCAAATAGTCGCTCTGATCCTCCGCGTATAGGTGGTGAACAGTAAATTCCGCCCGCACGCTATCAAGTGTGTCATACTCCCCCGCACAGCAATTGATAATTGTATTCACCCTCTCACTCCGCAAAAATTCCAGCGTTTCTGAATCTGGAAAACCACCCACGTAGAGGCCGTCAACGAGAGGCGTCACCGATGGTTCCTGACGCCAGGACGAGTCTAACCTAAGCAGTGTCAACTCAGAATCTAAGCTGGCACGAAGCTGCAATTCCTCACGCATCAACTGGGGCGTACAAAACACCGCTGGTGGGTAACTAACGTCCAGCCGAGAAGCCTTTGGCGTCGACAACTGACTTGGCCGCGGCTCTGGAAGAGCATCAACTGTGTTCCTGCGACTTTCACGTCGGCGTGCGGGTGGTGACGAGGGCGAACGACTCCGTTCAGCCATGTATTCTGAGAGACGGTTGTAACAAATAAAAGGAGTCCCTTCGGGGGAGGAGCCTTCACGCGGAGGAGTGCAGGGACGAGCCGCCATGTGCATCTCCTCCCTGACCTCTGACCCAAGAAGGTCCGTCTTCTATGTTATTATTATTATTTTCCAGTGCGTTTCTTTCGTCTGCCTCCTTAAGGGGCCCGTGCGGCTGGGAACAAAAAGGCTTCCTGCAGCTCACTCGCTAGCTAGGGCAGACAAGACAAGTAAACGCACCTCCCTACTTCCCCTTTATCCCCATCCACTCCCTTGCAAAGAGGAGAAAGAGAAACAAACAGCAAAAACAATACGCAAAAAGAATGCCCCCTCCCCGCTCCCCCTCCAAAAAACAAACAACCCCCCCCCCCTACAGCGACTCACACACAAAGGAAGGAATTCATGGGGCTTACGCATACATAAATACGCGTATGCGTAAACCTGTGAGGTGAGATATACCCCGCGCTATAACTTAATTTAACCGTGG